ACCACTCCTATGCTGCTCACCTCTGCACTCCCACTCAATTACACTGCAACATCTCTCTCTCACTTCTCACCTCTTTACAGCCCTATTACACTGTTTATTTCTAAACTTCCTCTGTATCCAACCCCCTCCCTCCCCAATCCCACCTTTTATACTGATTGCCTCTGTACTCTCTGTACACTCTAATACTGATCACCTCTGCACCCCTCTTACACATCTCATCCTTGCAACCATTTATCACCTCTGTACCTCCTACCTCCCCTCCTTATACATCTCACCTCTGCACACCTTGTACACTGATAACTTCTGCACTCCTTTGCATTCCTCATACACCAATTACCTCTGCCCCCCTCCCTTACACTTCTCACATCTGCACACCACCTACACCCCTCACCTCTGCACCCCATTTACATTGGTCACCTCTGCACTCCTTTGCATTCCTCATACACCAATTACCTCTACCCCCCTCCCTTACACTTCTCACCTCTGTACCCCTCCTACACTTCTTACTTCTGCACCCCCCTTTTATTTGTTACCTATGTGCCCCTCTTACACTGCTCACCTCTGCACTCCCCTTATACTTCTCACCTCATTAACTCTCCTTGCACTATTAAAGCTCTCTAAAAAAAAAAAGTTGAGACTTGGATTTGCCTAAAACTGTCCATACACCTATAGATGATCTGCAGGTTTTCTAGGGTCAGATGGAAAAAGTGCCACAGATTCCTCCATCTACGCTACACTGTGTGGATAGAGGAATCCCCCACTGGGCCAAGCTTCAGTATCTTGCTAGTTGGCCCCGCTGGTTCTCAAAATACCTGAGCAATGCCTGCATCCAATCACATTGTTCAGGTATTTTGGCAGGCATTTTACACATGTCCTATGTACCTTATTGAGTTTTTTGGACGTGTGTAGTGTGCCTTGTCCTTTTGCCCCACATCTCCGCCCCCCAGTCTCCTCACACTTGCCAGCAATTTCTATCTGGGAAGATGAGGCGGGATTTTTTCTGGTGTGTCCAGCGTTGGAGGAGGCCAGGGCCCAGCAGTGTAAGCAGGTAAGAGGAGCTGTGTGACCAGCCAATCTGAGACCCTGCAGCGCCCCCCATAGAGAGATGGACTGTGCAGGATCTATGGTGTGCTCTGCAGGGTCCCTCTCATGTGGGCTTTGTGGGGCCTCAGGTGTGTTACTGAGTCCAATTCATATACTGTTCTGTATAATGTACTGTTTGGATTTGTACTCCCCCTACAGCCATTCTGCATTAGAGTGTAAGCTCCTCTGTATGGAATCTAATGTGACTGGCTCAGTGTTCTCTGTACTGCATTGTGGTATATGGCAGAGCTATATGAATGTCTTATAGTGTGAGTCTGGGGGTGGTACCACAAGTACCAGCATGCCATTAGCAGCTAGGGGGGCTAGCCATGTAGGCTGTATGGGGCCCCATGATTTCTATTGCACGGCTTGATGACAGCTGTAGAAGCTGCTGCTGTCAAAAATGGAACATCACGGCTCAGACACCAGAGAGAGAAACAAAGCAGCATTGTTCATTTTCTTCATCTGCAGATCAAATGATAAGCCTTGCTCCGCCTATATATCTGCTAAAATAAATGTGCCTATTTAGCCTTCATTTACCCTAATCAGCCTAAATAGCCCCTTCTTCCCATAATGACATTCCTTTTTTTTTTTAACCATTAATATTTAAACTTCATTTTTATTTCTTTGTGTTCCATTAAAAAACAATGACTTTTATTTAATTTGTAAATAACTTTGCAATGCTTTGTACCAGAATCTGGATTTTAGTGTCATTGTAAAGCAGACACATCTAGAATGGAATCTATCATTTTATCTACAGTAACAATTTATCAGAAT